AGAGCTGGTTTTAAAGTGGGGATTTAAAATGGAGGTCTGCCTGCCCCTCCTTCTTCTTACACTCCTTACACAACCGAGAAAGCAGAAGTCCACCTGAAAACTCGTGCACACAAACACACCGACAACGGTGGAATGCTTCAAAACGACCCGATTTCTTCTTATACAACAGAACGACAAGGTTGTTTTTCCCTTCCAGACCTGCAACAAACACTCTCACGCACTCGCACGTCCGTAATGTGGCGATTCTTCGCCTCTTCTCTGAACGGGCGAAGGAGCGCTGAGCGGTAAACACGGCATTTCCATTAGATCGTTGGGAGCGTGCTCGCTGCTCTGTGACTCAGACACTGCACCGATGTGGCGGCGAGTCTCCTGCTCTCTCGAACGCTGAGCCTCAATAACACGGCCTCTGGTTTGTGCCACTTCAAAAGGTGCCTGTGGGGGCCACCCGGCGCTTTCAGGAGCGATGAGCAACTCCAGGCGAAAGGCCGGGTGTGTGGTATCTGAGGAATTAGGGGTAAATAGCTTTTGTAACAGTCCTTGCTTTGAGCCAGTGATGTACACACAGCTGACGTGCACACACACATGCGCCCGTTGTGCTCTTGCCCACAAGCGTGCCCGCATGATAATTTCTGTTATTTGCACACATGGAGGCAGATGAATATGGAAATAACTGAGGGGAAATATGGATCTCTGTGTTGGGAGAGGAAAATGTTAAAGGCCGATGCCGGGAGTGAGCTTTAAAGCTACTCATTACAAAGTCACGAAGAGAGGTTAAAAACATTCATGAACTGATAATATATTTCTCATATTGCTGTTTTTATGGGTCCTTAAATTAAAAATTTCAAGACTAAATGTTTGAATGGGAACTACCATGTTTGGTTATTTAAGGAAATGGCCAAAAAGACTGAAAATGGGTCAATTATGGAAGAGCCGTTTGATGTCAAGGGTAGGAGCAAAACGATTGTAAAACTGTTTAGTTTAACCCTCACAAATCACAAAATAAAACCCTGCCTCATGGCGGTGTCTGGTGAAATTATCATTGGAAAGGTCAAACACAGAAAACATTTATTTTTTTTGGACGGAGATTACTGTATTTTTCGCCCTATATGTCACAGCTTTTTGCATAATTTGCATGCCCTGCGACTTAAACAGCGAAGTGACGTATTTGTTTTTATCGTCATATTTATAAACCAATTTTTGGCTGAGATATGACCGTTTTCATGCAATTGGTAAAAGTGTCTATTAATGACACAGTTGGCTTGCCATAGCCTGCTACCTTCGTCCAGCTCGCATGGAGCAACAGTCAAATCAGCTTCATTTCGCTGCGCCAATCGATTTTCGGCACAACACCGGCCCACATGTCCCGAGTCGGCCCACATTTCCGTGTTGACAGCGGTGATGCATAATAGATGCGACGCATTTATGGATTTTTCCACTTTATTCGACTTATTTGGACTGATGCGACTTACAGGGTGGTGCAATGCGTACGATGGAAAATACGGTACCTTTTTCTGTTTCCCCAGTGATTTGTAGCTAGACTCCTTTCCTTTCCTCTGCCAGCTTCCTGCAGCTTCGTGCTTAGAGGAAGAGTCTCCGTCACGCATTAATTTAAAACAGAACAGACTTAATGCTACGTTCACACGATGATGTGTCTGCTCGGTATCTGAGAAAATAAAGTTTGGATCTCGTTTTTTTGTTTGAGTTGAAAGGAAAAGAGTCCGTTGAACTTTGAAATGGAGGTGAAAATGCCAGAGATTTCACTCTAATGTCCTCTATAGGCCTAAGAGTTCCCACGTTTCAAACGCCCTTGAAGGTTTTACAGCTACAGTCGGCCTGAAAAACATTTTTAAAATTTTATTTTGTAATTTTAAGCTGAAGAGCTTGCACATTATTTTGTAGCTGTTTTGATGGCTTGTGGTAAAAGGTGATGAAAGGAAGACGTAAGAAGTGAAAAAGTACAATTTTACAAAAAAAAATCAGTGAACTGTTTGTTGTGACTGATAAATAAGATTTATTGAAGTAAATTTCTTGTTGAATGTGAATATTTTGACAATAAACCTGAAAACCGTGGTATTTTCCCCTCAGAAAACAAACATATTGACCCTTTGATAATTGTTTTTGTGCCTCGTGAAAACGAGTTGAACTCATTAAAAATGAAATTGAAAAACTCACGAGTCTAGAGAAAGTTTCGTAAAAGCCGGGCATGTTTTAACACTGAGCTCTGACCTGTTTGATCCCGACATCGTCTCACTCCATCTCTTCTTTCACGTTTAGCAGCATATTCCTTCCTATATTTCCACCTCTTCTCTGAGATTACACGGTATGTGTTTACCTGCAGACTACGTGCAGCCTGATGCAGCTCAGTCACGTGACTCAAGCGTCCATGTGGCTTTCAGCAGATTCTGTCGAGTGCTTTCTTTACATTGATTGCGTACCTGCGTTTCAGAATTGCATATCAATGCATCTAGAAAGCTACGAGTAAACTTTATTAAACGGCAACATTTGATGTAGTTCAGGATGACCTTTTTTATGTTTGATTTTTTTTTTTTGCAATGAGTAGCTTTAATAACGAGGGAAAGGTGCATGAACTTGTTTGGCCATGGTGCAAACACAAAGCTGATAGTGGTGTCGTGATTCTCTGACAAGAAGTTGTAAAAGAAAAAAGCTTTGGCTGGTTAAAAAAAACTAATGGTGAACATTATGGAGCCAAATTACCAGATAAAGAGGAGAAAAACACCAAGTTCTGCCTGCTCCCATCTGTTTAGCATTCAAAACTCAAATCAAGCTGCTGTAACGAGAGCTGTCGCAGCAGCAACAGTTGCCAGGGAAACCTGATGGCAGGATGCTGAGGGTTGGGGGTTGGGGGGGGGATCTCGTACTCAGGTTGATTTGTACCACTGAAGGAACACTGGCTGACTCCTCGAGATGCAGCACCTCAGAGGAACACAGCTGATGGGGGGGTGGGGGTTTGCATCGCCAGGCGCAGACGGTGACGCCGTTTGGCGCATTATAGTCTGAGCTCGTTGCCTCGGCAACCAGGCATTGACATGGCACAATCTCACTCCGAGCGCTGCACCGATGATGACATTCACAAAAAGTACCGAGCGAGCCGCTAAGCTGGAGCTCTCCCTGCGCAGACTTTAAAAACAAAAAAAATAAAACAAAATAAATAAAAAAATAAACATCCCGGCGCCAACTGTTTCACTCTCGCCATGACTCACCACAGGAGGAGCCGAGGGGTTACAAACAGATACCACAATTAAAGTTGATCAAAATATATGTGGAAAAAATCAAACTAGCCACCAAATTTCACAGACTTCCATTGCCTTTTTATGTGCCGTTTTTTTTTTTCTTTAATTTTCAAAGTGACCTCTTCTAACAGAACACCTCTCATAATTAGAACCAGTGTAATCAGCTAATCATAATAGCAATAACAATATTACAATAAAGATAACACGTGATAAAAAAAAAATCAAACTAGATAAAAAAAAACAAAAATGAAAAACACATCTTAATAGTTTTGTATTTTTTTAAAAGAGATCTATGAGATTCTATATATTTTTTTTCATTTATTTGTCGCTTTTCTTTAGAAAAAATTCTCCCGCTGCCATAGATCACGCCGTATGGCCACCTTCTCCTTCACAGAGCATCTCTTACCTTTAAAAAAAACAAACCAAAAAAAAAAAAAAATGCCTGCTGTCCATTTAGCTCCCTGCTGCCTTCAAATCCACTCGCACGCCACAACTCTGAGATCCAGTTGTGAAATAATCCTCTGCGAAGGTGCAGTCTTCATCAAAGGTCCGTGCCCGGCCTTTAATGCCTGATAACACCCTGACTGCTGGAGACATCAGAGGAGAAGATGAGGTCTGGACTTCAGGAAGCCATATTGGGGACCAGGTCATTTCCTGCTTGTGGAGTTCATTTAGCAGCACATGAAGTCCATCCCAACGCTGTTAGTCCAAAACAACGTGGGTCTCAAATACAAACGAACAATGACTCAGCTGTAGGCACCAGTAGTAACAATAATAGTCACGTGAATAATAATGATAGCACAGTAACGTTATTCTCTCACTTTTAGGGTAAATCACGCTGAATTAACATGTTCATTATAAATTAACATGCTGATCATTAAATGACAAACAAAGCTGAGCTTGTTACCATTATTACTGTTACGGTCGTTATTATTAATACCACAGTGCCATCGATTACCAAGAGATGAAAAGTTTTTCATGTTTTTGCAGCTGAGCAAAAGGAACTTCCCTTTCAAATGACCCTGTTTCTGTGAATAAAAGGGAATGATTTTTTTTGTGATTAGAAAAACTTCAAAAACCAAACAAAATAAATTTAGTCAACACTTTGCCAGGCTTGTGTTTTAGCTCCACGGATATCTTCCACTACTGTCCTTACAGGAAGTGCAGTCACTGGGGTGTGGTGAGGGATTTTGTTCCAAGTTCAGAAAGGTTGAAAGGAGGGCCACCAAAACAGCTGCACTTGTTTATATATATATATATATATCTATATATATATATATATATATATATATATATATATATATTCTTCAGACTTTGAAGGTTTCAGTCAGAAGCTCAATAAAGAATTTTTATAATTTATTTCTTTGAATGAAAATATATTTACGGTATATATAATATGTATGATCTGTACTTTTTATATCTCTTTTCATCCCTTATTTGTCAGATTTTTCTTTTTCTTGTGGTAATCTGCTTTGCTCCTTTTCCTATTTCAAAAAATACAGTAACCAGTAAAATGTAAAAGGGGGGTAAAAGTGCAAAAGTGAGCGTGAAACTGCTCCCCGAAGCCACCTTGTCATTGTTGTGGTGCTGTAAACAGCAGAGCTGCCCTGCTCTAATTTAGCTTCCTGGAAACCTGGGAACATCCCGCTCCCACAAATCATCGTTTGCTATTCACTGCCTCCACCAAACACTAATCTGGCATGTTCAATGACTCCCCTCCAAATATATACACTGAATGCATCTGTAAATATATGAAGCGATCTGTCTACAACCTCATGAGGCTCATTGCACATGTGCACGGCTCGTACGTGTCCGCTGAGTGAAAAAGGTCGGCTGTTTCTTGAGCTTTGGCAGGTTGCGCACAATGAGGGAGTTTGATGTTTGTGGTTTGAACAGAGGCTAGGTGCAGATGCCGTCGGTGGGACTAGCGTACTGTCTCCATTGTCTTCCTATCTGTCAGCCACAAAACCGGAGTGAAGCATCAACTTTTCTGAAATTTATCCAAAATGAGGGTGAGCTACAATCAGTCTTAGCTTGACAGATATTCTTGTTCTCTATGAAAATCTTTTTCTTCTTACCTCATACCTCCACCATCAGTTTGGATCTAGATTTGAGTCTCTTGCACGTTTTCCTTGGAGCCATTCTTAAAAAGTAGTGGCTCATTCTGGCCCTTTCCCATTAGGCCTTTTAGGGAACTGTGCAGGCCCAACTGGGGCAGGGGTACAGGAGAGGGCAGGGTACCACATGAGGGCATCCCTCCACAGGTGGTTGTTGAAACCTGGGAGCAGGATAGGTTCTGTGTTTGAGAACACGGCGATGGGTTGTTGTTGTTGTTGAGGCCAACACCCGTGCTCATGCCCAGGCCCATCATGTTGTTGAAGTGATGAGTTTTGTAGTAGTGGTTCAGGTGTTCCGTTCGAGCCAGGTTGGGTAAGTTGACTATCTCAGGATGGTGCAGCCGGAGACTCTGGCCCCCACCTATTCCACTGCCTCCACTTTGTGTTACAGTGGAGCCTCCGGAGATCCCACTGCCCCGACCACCGGCCCCAGCAGCAAGCTCGTCCTCCACATTTATAATCTCGATGGCGCGAGCTGGACCATGGTGTTTGTGCAGCTGGTGCTGCTTCCTCAGCTTGTAGAACACCACCAGCATCACCGCTGCCATGAATGTAATGGCTACAAAGCAGCCAATGATGATCTTGGTGGTCTTCATCACATCGTCCAAGCCCGAGGAGCCTGGCTCAGTGATCGGCACAGTGAAAGTGGGTCGAGTTGCATGAGGAGAGGAGGAGGACCAGCCAGGAGGCAGGGAAGAGTCTGTGGTAGGAACCCCGTATGGCCACTGGTTAGAAGGGGTGGAGCCAGGCTGAATGGGGATGAAGGTTTCGTTATAGGCAACCGATGCAAAACCTTTACCTCCTCCAGGCTCCAATGACTCCACGGTAACTGTTGTAAAGTAGGTGTAGTTGACACTGGTATCAGCAGCAGTAACGTTGAGGACAGCAGTGGCGGTAGTATTTCCAGCAGCATTGGTAACCATGCAAGTGTACTGACCCGTGTCTCGCAGGGTGACATTTGTGAAGTTGAGCGTGCCATCGTGCAGGACGGATATCCGAACACGGTAAGACCCATGGGTCATGAGGGTGCCGTTAGGGGTGATCCAGTTGACAGACGTTGTTGACGTGCTTGTGCGACATTTGAGCTCGGCGGCCATGCCTTCGGTGACATTCAGGTCAGTGGGTGGCTCTACTATGACAGGTGCAAAGCAGGTGAAGTGGCTCTGGTCAAGTTCTCCGATGTACTTGCCCTTTAGGACTGGAGGAGCGTGGCAGCGAGCGCAGCAGGTGGTGTTGCTGGGAACCGTCTCCTTCAACCACCAGCTGAGCCAAAGCACATCACAGTTGCAGACCCAGGGATTGTGGTTGAGGTGCACCCTCTCCAGCTGGTGAAGGGGTGTGAACAGATCATGGGGCAAGGAGTGCAGAGAATTATGAGACAAATTGAGCTCCTCCAGGCTTTTTAGATCATCAAAGGCATTCCGCTCAATGACTGACACCTGCGAGTGCATTAGCCACAACTTCCGAAGAGACACCAATCCCTGGAAAGAACCAGGACGAATGATCTCCAGACGATTTCCTGACAACTCCAGCTCTTCCAAACGCACAAGAGGTGTTAATTTTGGAATGTCTTTCAGCCCACACATGCCAAGGTTTAGGTACCGTAGATTAATGAGGCCCATGAAGGCTGCATCGGAGATGAAATCCAACTTCTTGAGCTCACCCAGGTCCAAGCGACGTAGCGAGGGCACGCGGTGGAAGGCATAGCCCGGCAGAGTCTCAATGGGGTTGTTGCGCAGCCAAAGCTCTCGCAGCTTGCTGAGGTACTCAAAGGCATGCGATGGCACCAGTGTGAGGCGGTTGTCAAACAGTTCCAGCGTGTTGAGGTTAGGGAGGCCATTAAATGCTCCAACCTCAATCTGCCGTATTTGATTCTTGGAGAGCTGAAGGATTTCAAGGTGCCTCAAGTACTTGAAGGTGTCAGACTTGATGACCTGGAAGGACAAAATGGAAAATAATCAAAAGTTATTCAAAAAAGAATAGTCAGTGAACAGTAGATACATAAACTTTTCAGTCTAAAGATGGCTGCTCAGGTTCTGCAGGAGGTTTAAACGTTTTTTTGTTTGTTTCTGGAGTCACCCACTGCCTCGTGGGACAGGAGGACAAAATGCATGAACATGAAGATTTAATTTAGTCTGCTTGTTTTTCTTAAATTAAAACAAAACTTTTCACAGATAGTGTGAATCAGAAGCTTAATATCAACAGAACACTGTCCTCCCAGCATTTTAACTACGTCTATATACCAAAGTTTATACTCAGTAATCCAGGTTAAAATCCAACAATGTTCAGTCAGGTCATCTGGATTCTGGACGGTTTCTTTGTTTGCTGAGACGTTTCGTCCTTAATCCGAAGGACCTCTTCAGTCTGAGGAGCCACCAACAAACTGGGTCCCACCACAAACAGTACACTCCCATAGTTGGGGAAAAAACTATGATTGATTCTAACTAACTTGATTCTAATTGTTGACAAGTACAGTATTGTTTGACTCCAGTATGTTTTGATATCTTTCTCACTCTTTTTTTGGTGAGTGCAGATTTTTAGGCTCAGGGTCGACCGCAGATTGGTTTTAAAATACTTTGTAAAACTTTCACAGCCTTTCACTCCTAACAAAGAGAATTTCACATTATCAGTTTTCCTGCTGAAACTGAAGCTGGTTATGCTAACCATGGTTATGTGCAGCGTAATCTAAAGATGTTATTTTTTGTTGTGTTTGATTAGGTTCTTTGTTTCTTTATGTAATATTTATCACCCTAGCTAAAGGTGTGTGAGTCTTTACTGTTACATCCAGGGCTTAATTTGAGCCGGATCCTGCCGCAACAATATCCGGGAACCCACGTATTTTGAAGGGTGTGTTCCGGTAACTGTTTGCTTGGATCTGGTAACTCTTAAGCCTAATAATAATAATTTTTATGAACAAATTTGACTGCCTTGAAGAATAAATTCTATATTGGATATGTAAACTGTGACTAATTACATAAACACTAATTTTAAACATAACCAGCTTCCTAATATCACATCAGAGCTGTCGCTTTGCATTTCTATTTATGCTCCTAAAAAAATCTCCGCCCCTAAAAGCTCAAAGTCATGAGCAATTTTATTTAAAAAAATTCCACAAAATTATGCTTAAACATTTAGCATTATTCATAAGACCCTGCACTTTTGTGCACAAACTGATGTGTGGGTCACTGCAGGAGTTATCTGAGCTGTCACTTGAACTGCAGAAAAGAGGCGACGATCTACGCTCGTAAAGCTATTTGTCGTGCAGTCAAAGTATTTGAACGGATGTCCCGAGCGACCAGGATGCTTTTCTGAACTGAGCAAGAGGATTGAGAGCAACTCTTTTCGAAGCCAGTGACAAAGCGCTAAATATTAGGTAGTTTTATTTCAAAGTTTGGCCAAAAACTTAGAGCAGCGCTTGTTGTCCCATGGTGCGGAGCAGGGAGGAGGACGAGGAGGCGCACACGACCGCAGTGTTGGATATACTAAACACCTAGTAGCTAAGAAATAATCCTGCACTTAGTACACTGATAAATCACACATAAAGCGTTTAAAAGTAAATTATAAAGATGAACTGGCTTCAGTGGTGATTTTAGCCTAACTTTGGGGGTGCTAAAGCGCCCCTAAATTTTAACTGCACATTGAAAAATAAAGAAACCTTCACAGTGTTTCCCCTGGTTAGCTTGCCATGGCAGGGTGCTCATCTCATCCATGATTTTTGCTGATGGGGAGACAGAGACATGTCTGTGCGCAGCTTGTACTAACAGGTTTTGAGCGGGGGTGGGGGGCGTTCAACATGATGGAGGAGGCAATGTGAGTGCTGCCTTTGGCTATTTAGCTAGAGAGCCTGTATTTTGTGCTGCTAGCTTAGTGATATGTCAGTGCCGGGTGGGAGGGGCAAGTTAAGTTTGGTAGGCGGGGTGGGGCACCCTGCCTGTATAATGGTAGGGGAAACACTGCTTCATTAGGATTGTGTAAGGAAACAGTCCTCAAACTTTAGATTCACCAAAATATTCAATAAATATTGAATAAATGACAACAGTCTTGAACTGGCCAGTAAAAGCTGTGATTTTTTTTGTTGTTGCACGAGTCGTGCCACCTGTCGGTCAGTCCAGCAGTCATGCCAGCAACTGACCAACTGGTGACCTCAATTTGTCCTGAAGTGAATGCCCCTTACCTGCAGAGCTGCAGCAGTTTTGCATCATGAACGCTTTTCAGTCAAAAGATTTCAATAGTAACAGAGTTTACATCATTTGTTTCACGTTAATCTACTGTAATAAACCTTTGTAAAATACTCCAGAATGCAGGAAATGGTATCTACTTTATTCAAAATTGTCTGACGGAGGATCCCGACCCCCCCCGCACCTCCTGCTATTTGTGTTACAGCATTTTTTTGGTTTACAAATTAATCCCTGGTTACATCAGACATCACTGTAAAGATTTTTGCCACTTTTGGGGCGGATGCTACAGCTAATTAACACTAGCTAACACAAAAATGGCTCCAACTTAGTTTGTTACACAGATATTGAGCTAATATTTGGTGTGTAAGTAGCCGAGGGTCAGCTCGAGCGAAATGTGTCCGTATTGCAAAAGCCTGCATGTAATGTTATTTTCAAGCTTGGACTAAAACGGACACAACTGCATCGCTTCTCTACATATAATTATTTACGTTTAATAGAATCAAGAGGAGCTTACACAAAAGTTTTGGTCGTTGGTTGATATTTAATTAATCTTAAAGCAACACCTAAATGATCATAATTGTGTGAATGCTTAGAAAACGTTTCCACCATCGAGATCCATGTTTGACCCGATGTGTTTTGGCATTTAACTGGTTCCAAAAATCAAAACGTTCGGCTCATTCAGGACATTCCTGCTCTGACTCGTGCGATTTTTACCTTTTGAAATATTTAGCATTGTCGGCCATGTTTGTCTAATTGAAAATGAACCGTCCAGATGACCTGACTGAGCTTTTTTGGATTTTTTTTTTTACCTGGATTAAGCATGAACTTTGATGTTTTGAACCACTTTGACTATGGCTGCCTCAGAGGAGTCGACAGGGGAGAGGGCAGGCCCCAGAAACCACGTTATCACCAGCGTACTGGTTGGTCCATTATGTGAGTGTGCTGCTTTTGGGACTGAGTTTGTTGTGGCTCCTCCGACTGATGAAGTCCTTTGGATGAAGGACAAAATGTCTCAACAAACAGTCCAGATGACCTGACTGAGCTACGTTGAATTTTTACCTGGTTTATGTGCATGAACTTTGAAGAGATGTTTACAACTTTTTACTGCTCGTTTCAGCGTTTCTTGTGGCTCAGCTATTTTCAGCTTTTTCCAGTTATTTTCAGCTACTTTATTAATTTTAAGCTTTTTATTAATTTAAGCTTTTTTCAGCGTTTTTCTGTTAAATTCAGCTTTTTCTGCTTTCATGTACTTTAATTGCATTTTATGCTAATTTCAAATTTTGTTTCAGTTTTTTTTTTTTTGTTGCTAGTTCCCACCTTAAGTGACTCTTCCAAAAAATGCCATATTTGTATATTTTTTCAGTTTCTTTCTGAGTTCAGCATTTTCTTTTACTTTTATCTACATTTTAGCTACTAAAGTCCATGCTCAATAATCCAGGTAAAAAGCCAACAATGTCAGGTCATCTGGACAGTTTATTTTTTGCTGAGACGTTTTGTCCTTCATCCAAAGGACTTCTTCAATCTGAGGAGCCACCAAACAAACAGTCCCACAAACAGCATACTCCCACTAAACAATGCTTACGCTACATTTTAGCTAATTTTAGCTTTTTTTGCAAACTGATCGGCCTCTTCTTTTTTTTATTTTAGCTTTTTCTGCTACATTTCTGCCGTTTTTCTGCTGTGTTCTGCTTTTATTTTCCTGCTTTCATCAAATGTCAGCTGTTCAATTTCAGCTCGCGTTAACAGTTTAGAGAGGAAATCTTTTCAGCTGCTTTCAGCAACGACCATTCAGGCGTCATTTGTGCAGAAAATGACATTTCTGTAGCTTACAACTACACTACAATAACAATACTTACATAATGAAATAATCCAATATTTAATCTAGAGAAGAGTAAAATGTGCACCAGCTGAACATTTAAATAATGTAAGTTCTGATTTATTAATTCAAAGCTTCTTGCAGTTATCATTTTGTGTGTAAAGCACAAAAAGCCCCATGACTTAACGGGGACGAGCAGTTTTATTTGTAATCGTTTGTCAGAAGTGCCTCTCTACGGTAATTGAAGCCCTGTTGAGAGTTTCTCTCCTGACTGCTGTGAAGTCGAGTCCAGCCGGGCCACGCATCCGTCAGGCGGCCGCCACCGCACACAAACTTGACCTTTGTGTAGCGCTTGTGCAAAAGGTTAGGCGTTGCTCGGTGCTCGCACGGCAACAACGTCACTGAGGATGAACGTCACCGAGGCTTCGCCCGAGGACGGATCACCATCAGCGTGCTTATTATTCAAACCTGACTGATGAAACCTGCAGGTCGGCCACTTCGTGTTAACAGGACGACAGGTTTTCTGTTACATTCAGACAAATACGTGCACTTTCTTATGAACAGTGTTTTGTCACCCGCCACCAAAGGCAACAATGTTTCTGCTTGTGTGTGTTTGTCTTACAGAACATCTCATGAACCAGAGGGTGGATTTAATGAAACTCTCTCGGATGTGCATCTGCAAATGACCTACTAAAGATGGCCGCCCCAGCCACGCAGCATTAGCAAACACAAACATAGCTGTAGCTCAGTCAGTTCTACTTATTGAGCCAAGATTTAGTGTGGTAGTAGCTGAGAGTCGTACTCGACGCGTAGGTCGAGCACTAACCGATCGCACGAAATCTGAACGTCGTTCTGGAGGTTGGAGCTGCAGCTTCCTCGTTTCTCACTCGGCGTTGGAAACGGTGGGCGATATGCATTCCTTCAACGATGAACCTGCTGC